AGGGGGGGGGGGAGGGAGAAGGAGAGAGAGAAGGGAAAATTGGGGGACAGGAACAGACAGGGCAGACTGACGGAAAATATTTACGTTTCATTACGTGTTCCGTGGAAGCCAATTAGCGCGAGTCGCCAACGCGAAAAACGTGAAAGGGAGCTCTTTGTGTCCCTTCGTTTTACGCCGCGCCGGCTCCATAGACTGAAACATACTCTCCGGACGATTCGTCAAGGTTACGCAATGCCGCAGAAACGATTGGAAATGAAATCCTTTCGTTCGAGGCCGTGTCTTGATTGTTTCAGATTTCGAGACTTGCCGCCAATTTTCAAAAGTTTAACGACCCGGGACAAGGGAAACCGTTGACTTTGCGGTTACAAAGATTTGTGAATAGAGTGCTCTTCAATTAGCGATTGTTCTTCGTCCATTGTTTTGAGGATTCGAAATTCATTCGACTTGACTACGTTCTTGGAAGTATAAAGAACTATCTATATATATAAATATATTTTTTATTAATACATATGATCATTTTAAATCCTCTTCATTACAGTTTTATTTATCTTCTTCTTTTATTTCATCTATAAAGTTGCTTTATGTAGTTATAATATAGTATTAATGTACTATATTATTTCTATAAATTCTAAGGTATTTGATCTTCTGGTTTTTTCACACCACAACATGTAAAACTTGGAAAGTGAAAGTGCGAATTCAGAAATTTAACATTCCTTTATACCATATTGTCATATAACACTGACACAACAAACAATGTTGTCGATCCATATGTATTTTCTTAGGTATTTCTCATATTATCAAATACGAACACAACAGTTGTTAGATGTACGATAAATCCAGCTGATCGTTATACAATTTTACTTATTCTCTCTCTTCGATCATTATTTCATATTATAAAATGTATGTAGAGATACTCTTAAACGTAGGGGATCGCATTCTATCCCTATATTTCACGTGAGAGTTCGACTTCCTATCGAAAGATGTCTGTTTTGTCCCATAAGTACTGGAAGAATCGTCTCGCAGGATATTTTCGCCGTTCGTCCAGCAAAACATCCGTCACTGCGCTCGGTCGTTCCATAAATCTTGAAGAACGTTCGGTCGGCGTGGCGTACGGCAAGAAACGAACGCCGGGTCACCGGATATCGTTTAGATGCTCGCTCGGAACGCGGGCCGTACGAACAGAGTAAAGAAAGAACCGCGTTGATCGTATGTCACTTTCCAACGGAAAAAGAGAGCCAAGACGAAAGCTGAAAAGCTTGCGGAGATCGCGGTCAGGAATTATGTGAATTCATTAACAAACGTGTCATGCAATCAAACTGCTATTTACCAATCGATTAATTCAACGATCTGAGCGATTTACGGCCACGTAGCTGAGCTATCGTCGCATCGCTGCTTGCTATGCGTTACTTTTCTTTCTCCTTTCCTCGTTTCTTATCTCGTCTGCTACGTATCTGTTTCCGTCATCTTCTTTCTTCTTTCTTCGTTATGCTCCGTGATAGCGTCGACGTACAAATTTTAATATTTTATATTATTACAGTAATTTATATATCGTTAGAATGATATTTTGTTAGAATTCGTTGTAATTGAAAGAATATTATTATTATATATATATTATATATCATTAGTAGATAATTATCTGCTTTTTGTACTGTTGCTAAATGGCTGAATAATTATTAATCGTTTACCTCAAACTTTCTATTTTTCAAACTCTTATTTTCAAATAGAACAGCTTCGTTTTATTGCACTATATCGTTTCATATCTAACAAACGTAATAAAAAAGAAGACTCGTGTTGGATTCATCGATTCGTTTTTTAATTGCCTCCTTGAAATTCTCTCCCCGTTCTATAACTACGATGGAGAAACCACACAAGGAACTTTATTCGCCAGCAAAACTGCTTAAGGGGTCGTGTATCGTCTACTATCGTTACATCGTATCGAGGCGTAAACGTTATTCCTTCGATGCAAGTATAATTGTCGAGTAAGTGATTGTCGATGGCCAGAGGGATGATCCTTGAAACAACCGAGGTGAACACACTGGCTACGCGAGGCGTTTTCATGCTTCTCCTATTCGTTTTCGTGAATTAGGTAAGAAATCATGCGTGTCGTGGTTATCTAGACTTTATAGCCGCGAAATAGGGCTGGACAACGTTCATGCTTGAGCGAAAGGCGTAGAATCGAACGATTTGGAAATGAAAAGGATTATCTGACAGGCATTGTCTGCTATAATGTGGAAACTAATCCATTCGTTTCGTCGCATATAGCATAGTATTAACTTATTGGAAAATTTTAGCCATTGTTGGCTAGAATCATTAGCTATCTAGAAATATTTTCTAGTAAAAAGCGTTAGTCAGGAATTCTGTCCTTTTGTTATTCAGGAAGATTTCTTTTTTGGTATGAAGAGTTTTTATTTTTCAGAGTGTTTCACATTATGATTATGTAACATAAAGAACTATTAGAATTTCTTATTTTGTAAAGTAATACAGTAGACAAAGAATTATATGAAGCGTATTTTCTATAGATTGAAATGTGCAAATAATTTATTTACAAAAAGTTACTTTATAATTGAAATTTTACATAAAAAGGAGACGAGAAGTATAATTCATTTCATCCAGCTTGCTCCTCTAACCTAACGTTGGCTAGTAGATTGAGCAAATTATACACGGACACAGTAGTATGAACCGTTAGCGAATCAAAGTATGTACAATACGTAACGGTATAAGATTTTTTTACAGATTAAACGTAATATCTTGTTAGTCATTTTCATATATTATTATTTCACCTTTCGTTTAGCATGGTATGTCATTTTTCTATAATAATAATATGCAAGATACCAACAATATCCTAATACATTTTAACATCTATTCCAAGAATAATCGTGTAAGAAAAGTTACTGACTAAATGCAGTAAATTACCTTTAATACCTAGCCATAAATTTTCTGAATATAATCTCTTCGATATACGTAAACCGACAGGTCTTGATTTATTGCTACGTTGATACATTATGCATTTTCAAAACGTTTAAACAAGATGGATATTGATCACTCTACGTCAATAATAAGGAAAATAAGGGATTAGACATTGCATTTTACAATTGTTGCATGATTATTGAACACTGTGTGTTCCTACTGTTTATATATTTTTAATATATTATTTCTACGTCTGCTATGATATTATAATTTCAAACATTGTTGCTTATTATCTACTTATTAATATCCTGATTTACTTCTCTCATGTGTCGCTAACTATGAAAGATAATTTTTATGAAAATAGATCTCCAAATTCCCTCTAAAGGCGATTTAATTTAATTTTAATCCATTTCTTAATAGAAAACCATGGGCCGTATCTCATTTTACATTATAACGAATTTTCCACTGCTAGATTACACTTTAATATTCATTTTTCCCCTAATTATAAAAATCTATACAAAATCCTACAATTGCTAAAGTTTTTAGTAATCTGAAACATACCACCCCCTTCCAAATATAGAAATTCAACCGATGATTTCGACTGATTGTGAGTCGCCAATGTGCATGTGAGTCGTCGCTATAGCGAATGATACGACTGTACCTAATTAATTGAGAACAAGAAAAAACAAGAAAAAGAAAAGAAGATCACTACCCTATATTACAAATTCCAAACCAGCTGACTAGAAACACCAAGCACGTAGCAAGTGTCTCATGAAAAAAGGTATTGTAGTCAAGAATAGATTGATATTAAACCATTCCCGTGGAACTTGGATCGCAGCTTATTTCTAGCTGGCACGCTCGAAGCGTTAAACTCTATCTTTGTAACAAACACACGTTGCAAGTAAATTTTTCAGCAGCTCGATTTCACAGGCCAAGGTTATTAACACCCGATGGTTTCCGGTCGCTCGTTTCGCGATTTTATCGAAATAAATGCTACGTTTTACCACGCAACCGAACCACTTTCGACCGGGTACGCTTATTTGAATTTTACGACGAACCGGGTATTTTCGATTTTACAGTAATGGCGTCCTCGGTTGAGATACCTTGGAAATGCATCGTTGCATCATCGATATCTTCTACACATCGAACACACGATCGTTTCTGCGGGATATGTATGCGCTATGACTAGTTTTAAAAGAATTTTTTCCTCCTGATGCACCAGCGGCGGAGGCGGCATGATGCAACCAGCTGATTTTACATTTGATGGATTTCTATGGGTACTTGTACGCTTTGTGTACCAAATCAAATTCGATATTGCTAGTCGTTCTTCGCCGATCGAACGGTGGTTTCGTATACTTTTAATTCACAATTGAATTCGATACAAAATATCTGTTCGAAAGTTTCGCAGTAAAATATAAGAAATATGCGAGAGCTATCTTTGTGAAATCAATTACAATTCTTTACGACGTTTTATTATAATCTAAGTAACGTTATAATTTGTATTTTTTTTTTTTTTAAGAATGAATTCTTTCAATCTTTTACAGGTTACCAGCGTTCATTCGGTTTCTCATTTAGTTTTGTAACATTAAGAGTATCAAGATAAACGATATCCGGACGATGGTATTAGATGGAATAGAATGTTCCAACTAAGATTGAATATATTTTAGATAGTATAGATTAGTACGTGCCAACTGATGATTGAAGATTGATATACTTTTTAATCTAATATTGTTTTATTACGAATCTCTGGATATTTCTCTTTGGCTACTGTGTTTAATGGCCAACCTGGAACAATATGTATTTTACATTTTACATTGCAGTATTTGATTTATTATATTCATAGTAAATAATCTTACCCTCTTTCTAATATGCTAGCTGTTAATGGATTGCCAGTACAGTTATCAGATCAGTTGTTCTTATTATTTCCATTTAAAGATGCGAAGTTTTTGTCTCCATAGTTCGTAATTTTTCTGTGCTCAATGATAGAGAACTTTCTAAAATAAATTTAACAGGAATTTCTTGCAATTTTCTGATTTCTAACTTAAATTAAGGAAACAAATCGAGTGTTTTTTAAGTCGTCATTTATTAGCCCCCTGTGTAATCTCGTTGAAGTTCTAGCAGATTACACGTTCGTACGAAACAGTGATTTATGATCAGTTGCTTTCGATTCTTATTGCATTCCTTGAATTCCACACTTCATCGGCACGGTTATTTTCCCTAGAATGCATTTGAATTTCAGCTCTTGGAGATACTCGTTTTATATCACCAGTTTCATTGATCTACGATATAAATCTGTAAGTAGCAACTTTCAGCGAACATTCGTTTCATATTCTCTCGGTAGGCTTAATTTTTTCCATCATAAATGTTGAAGTAACTACTTCAAGAAAAACTCTACATCTTTATTTATGTACATACATGACCTGCAGACTGCTATTATTCAGAAATATTCTAAATAAGGAGAGGTGCATATCATTGTACCCTTGAATATACATTATGTTTTGGTTTGCAAGGTCTAGGAGCAAAAGAACTAACAAACAAATTTCTATTTATGTTCTCTGTAGCCTCTAGCTAATGCTACAGGGTTAACTTTTTTGGTAATGTCCTTTTGATATAAATATATGAGCGATCGATTCCATTGTCTAGTAACACTAAGAGAGTAAGGATCTGAATCAGCATAAACTTATACCTTTAGTTATTTCAATATACTTTTCCATTACAGATTTATTCACTCGTTCTTCAATCAGTCGACCTCAACCTCAATAATAAAAAATGTAGCATACTGTTGACGAACATATCGTTGAAATGAACTATTCCAATCTCATCAACCACGCCTATATGTGCAAACTAATTCCATTTTCTTGGGCCAATGAATACATACATACGATACGTTCACGCAATACGAATATACTAAATCCTATTTCTGTGGCTAATGAATGTTTACAGATTCAATATAATTAATATTTCACAGTAAAATTATGCGTTGTAACTTTGAATATCCATAATCCATAAAGTCACCAAAAACTTATTTAGTCCACGGATATACACTGGCATATTTAATATAAATTAGATGCTCTTCTCTGCTTTTAGTTTCTAGTTATTTTGCTATTAGGTTGTCCGAAAAGTTTCTTTCGTTTCATAAGGTGATAATAGATGGACAACAATTTCTTTTTTTTTATTATTTTATTAAATTAGGTATGATCTATTTCGTTATATTTCTATCATTATGTTCGTGCATAATTCAATAAACTAATATAAAACAAAAAACATTGTGCGTCTATTATTTCCTTATAAAACGAAAGAAACTTTTCGGACAACCTAATACAAATCTGTTCTTTCGTTCTTATCATAAGTGCTTTAAAATGTAAAATGCTAAGTAAAGGAGAAACTGTCAGATTTGTCGAATAAAGAGTATGTATAATACTTATGGTCGCAATAAAACGGCTTTTAAATTAAATTATTAATTAAACAAATTTTGACGCTTTAAACAATATCGATAAGTACGAAAAAGCAATCCACGTCAGAAGGTTTAAGGACGTAGAATCACGCAAGTCGTCTTCCACCAACTCTCGTCCCACACTTGCATTACAACACCAAACACCCTCAAACCATAGCAAACTCGCTGCTAAATATTATCCGCCGCGCATTCAGCGATTCAAGACCAACTCACGATCAATCTCACCCACTATATTCTCGACACAAATCATACCAGTCATACACAGCATCGACAATACGTCCCACAACATTTTGTCGATGACCGCCCACTAGATGTACCGGCATAAATCAATCTTGATACACCAGCCACGAGCGACAGTGAACCAACCGGAAGAAAGAAACAAAAAGAAAAGAAAAAAAAAAGAAAAAGAACAAGGAACGAAGCACAGACGACGTTCCGTGGCTCGTTGCCTGTCCGTGTCAGGCTTCTCGAGAAGCCGCCACTCCAACACGCATTTATCGATACACAGACTCATAAAACTATTCCAACACTTGTACACATCTTTTATGAATATATTATGTGTGTCATACGAACATTTTGAAATTCATTAACGCTGTTACGAGACTTACATAACCAACAATGATCTTATTGATGAAGTTTGAAACAAATCTAAAAATATACGTAGGAATTGGAAGATATTCAATATATATGTGTGTGTGAGTATTTCGTATAGATCACGAAAGTATTTAAGAGCTATCATTGATTTTATTAATAAATCTCAAAATATAATACTTACTACATTCTTGAGATAGCCATTATATTAGGATAGCTATGTATACTAATTTTTAGTGAAACATACTTTTAGCATCTTGCAACTTCTATAGTCAGATTGTTTCTAATTTTACCAATATACTCATGACAGTCGTGTCATTATAGTACTGATGAAATTTCAAAATGATTTATATGACACGCAGAATATATGCACAGAAATTTTGTATGATAGATGTTCAAATGCTTATAGAAACCTTTTACGAACATACAGATTGAAACTTCTATATACATCTTGAAATTAGTTTCAGATTTGACCAATATAATCATAACAGTCGTGTCTCATTACAGCGCTGATGAAATTTCAAAATGATTTATATACACACATAATATATACGTGTAAGCTTCGTCTAATAATTTTCTGTGATATGTTCGAATATTTATAGAAATTCTTTATGAATATACCAGACTGCAACTTATGTACATCTTTCAATTTGTCTGGAATTTGACCAACACCAATATCGACATCGTCGCATCTCGTTACAAAGTTAATGAAATTTTTTAATGTTTCGTATAATACGCGCAATATGAATGTATAAATTTTCTACGCCAAATATTCGAATGGCTTTCGTAAGCCAGTGCACGTCGAACCGATGTTCGGCGTTCTTCAGCATCGCCCGCAGACGTGGCACGATCGGTTCTCGTAGTCGGAGTTCGGTCGTTGAGATCGATGGAAGGAAGCCAGCTGCCGCGGCAACCGGTTGGCGCCGCTCTGTCGAGCAACCTCCAGTCAAACAGAATCGGCTCTAGCCAAGTCTCCGCAGGGGGTTCTCTGGCCACGTTACGCGCATTTAGCACACAATGCGCGATTACAGCTTCGCGAGCGGATAATGAAACGATTTCCGCGATACGCGAATAATAACTTTGGCCTGCGGGACCCTCTATCGCTTTGTTTCGCCAACCGACGGTAACTTGCCTCCATGCACCGGCTCTTTTCGTGGATTACGAATTATTATTAATTGCGAACATTATGGAGTCGAACGTGTATCGTGATATTTTTATGCTCTTCCACATTTTCAGTCTGATTATTCGTTTGAGTTTATCGTGTTATTCCCGCTACGGTTCTTTCACGTGACAATTCTATTCCTTTTCACAAGTAAAAACAGGTTTAACGTTTGAAGAAAAATTTTAACACACCATCGTTGATAACATCAACAACGATTCTTTTAGGCTTTCTTCAAATTTGAGAGGCTTGTTAGCACGATTGGGTCTAAAATGATTGAAAGAACGTAGAGGAGTTAATAGTCGACGACTAAGTTATTTAAAATGTAGTTGTCCGACTAAAAGTATCTAATTCTGTTGACGCAATCAGCATGTCTTTAGTTTTATGCGTTTTAAGAAAGTTAGTTGGAAAGCAACGGAGATAGCGGGAAATGTTGCTAAAACAAATATTATTACACAAAGTAAAAATATTTTTACTGAAAAGATATGAAGCTCCTGGGGAAAGATTGTCATATTTTAGTGGCAGCGAATGTGCTAATGGATGGTTATTTGTAGAAAGCGGTTGTAATGCGGTGCCGATTTTAGATTATGGTTTCTGCGAGACAAATGGAATATATTTTTGTACTTGTAAGCTATTTTAAAAGGAGAAAGAATTTATGTTATAATTACTAGGTTTCGAGTATTATACCTTGTTTTAATCGAAGAAATTTAATCGAAAATTACCAAGAGATCTAGCGTTATCTGTTCCCGACTCTTCCATATGATATTTCAAATTCTTATCTTGACATGTCCCTTTTTCAACAATTTCTATTACACCTTTTTCAAATAAAAATAATTTCTAAAAAAATAAAATACATATAGTCATCGACAACAGCCCCATATATCTTATAAAAAATTCATCTGTATCATCTCTATCAAAAATGACTATACGCAAAGCAACGTCTCCTTTTCATCTAAAGCAAAAGGATACAGGTCGAAACCTATGAAACGACATTACAAAATGATGGTACGAGTGATAGACAAAGGAACAAGATACTCGCATCGTTGGACGCGACTCGCGAATGAAAAGCTCTTCAAAGGCAGACAAGTCACGGCTGAAAAGTCGCGTGCTTTTTTATCGTTAATTTATGGGCATCCGCGCGAACCTGCCATTTGTATTATTGTACTTACGACTGAGAGCTACTAATGGAAACTCCGTGTCCGCTAACGCATCGCGGATTAGACGCGAGATAGAGGCTGCGTTCCTACCGGAAAGAGCTGCGCTCGCGATCGTGCCACTCGCGTACACGATAAACCGAAATAGGTGTTCGAGCCTAAGCGCGATCTAGCCAGCAACGAGCCGAGTCTAATTTTAATGAGTTTCACTTTTTTATTGCGCCGGGGCAGTATCGGTCTGCTCGTTAATGGCCACGCTCCGATGCCGTTAGGATTTTTGTACAGTCATTCCTGCACCACGGGAAGCCGTTTGGCCTGTTAATTGCGTAATTACCTTTAAAGGAGAATACGGTACTGGCCGAGCGTTTTCTTTTATCACCGACCACTGGATATTTGATATTTGCACCTCGAAGCTAGAATAAGGAATTTAGGATGAAGGGTTTATAAATTGATGGTGTTTCTCAGAACTATTCTTCATGTAATAATCAATAATAACTGAAATAAAAGTTTTGTCTGATCTTTGCGATTCCTGATAAATCTGTTATTTATTTTATATAAATTATGTATGGAATTTTTTAAGTATCTGAAAGAATAAATTGATCGTTGGTTACAATACTTTTTAAACGTACATAATTTGAGATGGAAGTACGAGTTTAGAGTTAATTTCTTGCCTTGCGATTTATTTTTTGTCACAGTACGCTCGATAGGAGGTAACGGTTATTATGTGCTAGAGCAAAAGCATTTATTAATATTCTGAATCTATAACTTAACCATAAATATCATTCTTATTTGTTAATTTCGATTTGCGGTACGTATCATGAGCTAGATTCGTGTATTTTTTGTTTGGCCCGTATTATAAGTCTGATATTATGGGACAGGGAGTTGAGTATTTAGTATTCTTGATTGAGTAATTTTTATTAATATTCGATATAAAATATTACGTAATAGTATTTCGTAGTGCTCGATATTTTAAATTGCAAAATGTATGATACATTTGATATACACGTTTAATAGTAAAAACTCCGAAGAAAATACGTAAATCTAAAGAAAACAGCATCTGAAATCCTTATTTTTGAAATACACAATATGCGTTTACACGAATACACGAAAACACGCTTAACTTTTATAAATATGTATTCGAAAAAATTGCATTCCGTTGGAAAAAAGGTAGAAGCTCCATACGTATTTTGAAGGAACTATGTTCTTAGTTTAATAGCCAAGCCATTGTTCGTCCGAGAGAAGAATTTTCTCCTGAAGTTTAAACCATGGTCGTTAAAAACGTAACGAGCCGTTTCAAATAGAAAACAACAATTGTTTTCGTACAAAGAGCACGATCGCGTTGATTATTTCTTCTTCGGGTTTTACCTTCGTACAAACAGTACGCGTTCCCGGTCTGAAATAACAGCCACGAACTCTAAACCCAGTCCGAAAACACCTTTCTCCGCTCAACTATAATATAATCGCACCAAAGATTCCAAGTTTCGCGAAAACAACCGACTATTTTGCCGTTTCGATCTCCTTCTTCGATCACAGAAACTCTATGAGAAGAAAACAGCAGAAAAGACCACAGATTCATTAACAAAAAGAAAAAGATCGCGGAATTTCCTACCAAAAAGAAGAAAAAGAAGAAAAACGTCCAGCTACACGGCTCAGTACTGATCTGCTCAATAAATTCGTCAAGTTACAGTGAACGATTTTATTGCGCCAACTAAGTAAACACAAGTAAAGTTCCGCGGGCTTATTAAATGGGCACGTTATTCATACGAGACTATAGTAAAAATTGGCAATGTGACGATCGTTTTCTCCAGTGCAA